ATTTTGCTTTAGCGTTAACAAACCTACAAGTTGTGCAGACCTCAATTCATAATGGGAATTTTGTAGGAAAAGGGAATTTTAAGAAAAAATAACTGCTCATACTCATGTACATATGAATGTACTTAGGTAGAGGTGAATTTTGAGTATTTATTGCAGAGTTACCTTCTTGAAACTTACATGTAAAATTCTTCTTTAGTAAGCGCGTAAAGCGACAATAGACCTCCTAAAAAGCGAATGTTTGTTTCGAACACCGAGAGTGTACCGGTCGCTTTGCTCATGTCGAAGTTCTTCTCAATATAGTCGCGAGCCTTAACAGCTTCATACGGCAATGATCTTCAACCAAAGCTGATCTTTCTCACCTCTTCGTATTCCTCCTTGAGGCCCATTATGAAGAGAGTATCAGCTGCATCGACAATCGTAGCCGGCATCTCACGTCCACCGAAAATATCCTGCTTGTTGAAGGATTTCGATACTGGTCGCAGCTAAATAAATTTATAAAGCTTAAGCTGCCACTTGACGTTAGGCACTATTTGGCAAACCTCATTTTCTCCCCAAGAGTAATTCTTATAGCCGCTCCACGCATGCTGCATCATCTCCACAACTTTCTTCCTTCGAAATTCTGAAGAGTGCAAATACTGAGCATTACTATGGGGATCTGGATGGACTGACCGGTTTCATAATCGTTGTCCTCTGAAGAAGCGGTCACTCTCTGGGCTCTAGTAGTTATTCGAAGATGAGCTGTAGTATCCTCCTCTACGATTTTGTTGCCTTTCTAAAAATGAAAACTTTTTCCTGAAGTTTCTCAAGACTTATAAAGCTTTCTCAAATCATAAAACTTTTATAATTGCTAGTAATTTCACTTTCCTTATCATAACTAGATCACCAAGTTTTTTACTAACATCTAAAAAGTGGCAAAACTCTTTTGTACTCTCAGGATGCAGATAAATGATTTCCCTACGCTGTAATCTTTTATGCCACCTCCTTCATATCAGTCAGAAAGAAGCTCATGGAAAAGTGTGCGTGAGTTTCTCCTCCACTGATATAGGGTAGGCCTAACAGTTTCTGATTGAGCAATTGTATTTGTCGTATGAGCGTAGAGGAATAGATGGATGGCGAACTTAGCAACAAGAAAATGTTGATCTACTATATATTTGCATGTCAAT